TCCCTACAAATTTGTGTTAAGTTTTTCACTCAGGCTAAACTAGAGGGGCAAGGGAGTCCTGCATTTATTTAACTTCATAGGTGATAAAAGTCTCGACCGAGCCTGTTTCTGACAGTACAAAAGGCAGATGCCAGAACTGCCACCTTTAAGTACGAAGTTCTTGCACGTCCTCGACTGTTTGGGATCAAGCTGGTGTACGTGCCTGTAGTACAATCTGTTGTTGTTCTTCTGTAGTTGGGTTCTGGCCTGCAGGAAAGGGTTTTCTTTCTTCACCCCCACCCAGCACAAGCTAGCGCCAAGCTTAAGCTGGATGAAACAAGCACAGGGCTCAGCTTCCACGCTGTGCTAAACTAAAAGCAAGGAATATAATCCATTAAGGATGTTTCACTACTCATGTAAGCACTTATGATTTGCTTTGATATTTTCTGTCAAATATATACTTCTCTAGTATTTTTTTTCCACGAATCTCAAAAAAATTACTGGTAAGTAAACTGATCCACAGATTTTAACACAGCCTCAGGCCGTTGTCTAGGTTAAGCTTTTCTTTCTCCTATCCCCTTTAGCAGCTCATATTGTCTGTCACATGGATCAAAAAATGCTGTAGAAAGCACGGCAGTGTTATGCAGCAAGACTTAGACAAAGTCTTTGCATGTGCAAAACTTGAAATAGCTGCACAACAGCTCAGCCTGTAGCAGAGGTACATGGGCCATATTACTGTACTTCCGGTTAGTCACACACCTTTTGACCCTTAAGCCTTCTCTGCCTGTAAACATGTGATTCAAGCTTTTAAAAATTAAAATACAAAGCCGCATAAAATGTACCAACAAGCATCCTGTACTCCTGAGTTGTCGCACACCGTACAGTTCTGAAGTAGTGCCAAGCTATGGAACGAGGTGGATAACTGACAGAAGGGAAGCCGGTTGCTCTGAGGTGCTTTAAGAGGATTTACACTTCCTTTGATTCACTAAGGGAAGACTACTACAAAGAAAGGATTTTTAATTCTGTGTCAGTGGTGCAGAGGGATAACTGGAGATGGCATCTTCATACATTTTGATGTTCTCCTTTCTTACACGCTGCAAAGATCTTTTCTCTGTTTTTTTGTTTGTTTGCTTGTGGTTGGTTTGTTGGTTTTTTTTTTTAAATCCTACTTTAAAGCTCCATAATGCTGCTGTTTATAGCTCAGGGTGAGACACCTCCCAGACACACACTTTTCCCAGTTTGTTTTGTTCAGAAGACACAGGTTAGTCCTCGGTTAATCCGAACCATCGGTTCTCAAAGACTCAGTGAGTGGTAATACCATGGATGAACAACAGCTTCTGTCCCCCCTGCCCCATGGGTCTTGAGATTCCGTCCTACCTTCCTGAGGCAAGTTCTGTGGAACTATCTTGTACAGTAATTATGCACTTGATCACACAGTCCCAGCTATTTAGAATTAAGTTTGTGTACATACAGTAGAGGTTTTCATCATTTAGTCAAATAGGACATTTAAATTGTTTGGTAATACCAAAGAGAAGTAGAATTCCTAGGTTAACATTTGCTTCAGATGTTCTCACTTCAGGGCAGCCAAAGTGATGGCGTATACTTTGATACACCAGAGGCTTATTTTTATACCTATGAAGGCAGCTACCATCATGTTACACTTCAGAATGCATAAAGAGCTCCAACAGAAAAGGAACTGGAGAAAGCTTGTTCATTTGCCTGTACACCATAGTGATGTATGTTCATTTAAGTTTGTCATATTTACAATTACAGCTTTTATGAAGTTTAAAATAAAATGAGTTTTCCATTCATTTATTAGACGCACAGTTCCACCCATTTGCTTGCACGCTCAAAGGGTGATTTACCTGCCAAATCTGGGGGGTCACCAAAGGCAGGCGGCTGCAGCAAGCTCTCTAAACAA